GTAACCTTTCAGTGGCTGTGGTCAATCTCACAGAAAACCAGCCAGTCACTGCCGTCAACGCAATTCCAACTCACAGTGATCCTAGAGGGCAGAGCAGAGCTGCCCCCGGGGGTTTCTCAGGCTGGAAATCCTTACAGGAGCACACAGCCTCATCCTTCTCCCGAGGAGCGGCTGGTGGTTTCGAGCCATTGGCCCTGTGGTTAGCAGCCCCGTGCGTTAACAACCACGCCACCAGGATCCCTGCAGGTGGTTCTTCAACAGAGCCCAGGGCCCGAGCAGACGCGCTTTTCCAGTGAAGCCAAGCCACTGCTAGCTCGAGGGAGGCTTCTGGGGATGTCTGGGGTGTGTGCGTGCAGTGGACAGAAGATTCCAGGCCAATGCTTACAGGGGCTCACCCAGCCTCCTGGGCTCCGGGAGTCACATGGGGGTGGTGATGGTCCAGAGGCCCTAAAACCACCCCCTTGTGAGATATAACGGGAGTAGATTAGGCACCGATGTGGAATGCCCAGAAGTTTGCCCAAGATCTTCCCTGGAGCCGACTGACAGAACTCGAGCCTGGCCTATGGCAGGCCTCATACACCGTGGTGACCCACGTCTGCTCGGTACTGTGACACCGCCCCCTGGGGGCTCCCCACCCGGAGCCAGGCCCTCCCTCACCTGCTCTCCTCGTCCAGCAGGTAGAAGAGTCCGGTGGGCTTCCTGCTGATGAGGTGGATGCAGCCCACGTTGTCCGTGTAGTCGATGTTGTGCCAGCTGATGCCCTCGCTCTGGTACTCCTCCTGCGGGCGGATGTGGGGCAGTGAGCAACCCGCCGAGGCTGAGCAGAGTTGGGGGCTGGAAGCAGTCTCTGCCAGCTGGGGGCAGAGCGACCCGATCCCGGCGACACCCCCCACCTGTGGGCATCAGAGACGAGTGCTCCTTCGGGGTTCTAGGGGGCTGATTTTTCGGACCTTTCTGTTTGCAGCAGAGGCGGGGTTCACGCTCTGCTCTGAGACACCACACTCACTGGTGTCAGGTGACTGACTCACAGGGACCCCAGGGGACAGGGCAGAGCTGCTCCCGTGGGCTTCCAAGATGGCAAGCCTTACAGGACCAGAAAGCCCGGTCTTTTCCCTACAGCAGGGGCTGAAACAACCATAAGCACAATCGCACTGTGGACAGTGGGACATCCCCTCTCAGAAGGGTCGCAAGGAAGGGATGAGTCAAGTCCAGCACCAATGAAACACAACATTCCTCTGGTTCCTTGAGGC